TTCCATTTGGCCAATTTTGCTCTTTAGGGCATTCTTTTCTTCATTGGCTTTTTGGACCTCTTTTGCCATTTGGGTTAGGCTATTTTTTAAGGTGTTATTTTCTTCAGTATTTTTTTTGGGTCTCCTTTAGCAAGCTGTTGACTTGTTTTTCATGATTTTCTTTTATCACTTTCAGTTTTTCCTCTACTTCTTTTACTTGCTTCTCAAAATCCCTTTTGAGCTCTTCCAAGGCCTGGGACTGATTCTTATTTTTCTTGGAGGCTTTAGATGTAGGACCTTTGACTTTTGTTGTCTTCTGCAGGTTGTATGTTTTGATCTTTGTCACCAAAGTAAGATAATATAGTCTGACTCTTTTTGCGCTGCTTACTCATGATCCCGGCCAATTACTTGAGTTTTAAACTCTTTGTTAAGGTAACAGCCTGCTTCTAGTGTGGAGAATGTACTGTCCCAAGCTTCGGGGGTTTGGACAGCTGTTTTCAGAGATACTTCTAGGGACCTGTAAATTTTCAGGTCTTCCAAGGTGATATAATAAAGGGCAAGGTGTTTCTTCTCCACCACCACAACAAGCTTCACCACACCAGCACTCCTCCTCGCCCCAGGACTGCCCCTCAGAACTGTGACCCAGATCCAAGCACGGGCAAACAAGAGATTCCTGCCTCAGCACTGGCAAAGAGATCCCTGCAATCCCTCTCTGATCAGCCACTCAATTCCCCCTCAGTCTGTGGGCCGGGAGCTCAGGAGGCAGCTGCTGCCCCAGAGGTCGTGCTTGGGACTTGCGGCTGAGACCTAGCTCCTTCTCTCATCGCAGTCACAGACTCTTCCCACTGACCTTCTAAGTTGTCTTCGGCATTCGTGGGTTGAGAAGTCTGGAAACCGCCACAGCTGCCCATGATTCAGTCCTCTGAGGCCTGCTCCAGGGTCGCTGAGGCCTGCGTGCCCATGCCAAACTGCGCTCCTCTCCCCGCCAGCACAATATACCTTTCCAATCAACCATCCAAGTTGTCTTGGGCTGGAAACTTGTTTCATTCTTTCTTTTTGTGGGTTCTGCTGCTTTAGAATTTTAGAGCCATTTTTATAGGTATTTGGAGGGGTTTGGGGGAGAGCTCAAGCAAGTCACTGCTTTCCCTCCGCCATCTTGGTTCCGCCCCCCTCCCCACCCGCCTCTCAGTTTCTTCCTCAGTACAATGGGTACATTGCACTGGCTGACTTGCATGATCTCTTCTACTCTAATGGGTCATGAGAGAAAAGGGGTGCCATATGGGGCCTCAGGAGCAAGAGCTGGGTCTCAAGGGGCAGGATGCCAGCAGGGAGGGAGGCAAGCTCAGAGGGAAAGATGGCACCATCACAGACACAGCTCATTTCCCAAAGAATAAGCCTGCCGGAAGGGGTCTCCCATGCCCCTCTTGTAGGCCCTGAGTAAGCTGCCTGACCCTTACCAAAAGAAAAACTTGGAGAAGAGGAGAAAGGTTTCCTGCCCCCTCTCCCTCAGTGACTTCCACTCTCAAGGTCACGTTGGGTAATGGACATTATCTTCAGTACCTGGCATTTGGGTCTGGTAATTACTGACCTGGCAGCCAGGCGGTCATTAAGATACTGCTTGTGTCATAAACAGGACACACACACACACACCCACACACCCACATGCCTGCAAATGGACTGGACCACTTTATTGCCTCCTGTAATACTTATGGATTCTTCATGGCTTTGGAGAGCTCTGCCTGACATTACCACAATCAGGGGGAGACAGGGCTTCTGGCCTTGGGCTGGCCAGGAAGCAGTTGCTGTCAACAGCCCTAAGTGGGGCCCCAAGTCTCTCCTGCTCCCAGGTTACCCATCGGGGGGGCCTGCCGGTCTGACCTGTCCTCAGGTGGCCCACCAGCCCGAGGCCTGTGGGTCAGAGACTTCTGCCGCAGAGCAGGGCAGCTCTCAGGAGTCAGCACCCGGGGCTGTGTTCTCCCCACTGCTCCTTCCTTGGAGAAGGAGGTGGTTGGAGGCCTCAAAGACAGAAGCAACCACTGAGAGGAGAGATTGTCCGAGCCAGCCCTATCTGGCCCTTGACAATGCAGGCACCTGCCCTGGCCTGTGAAGGGACTGCCCTTCTCACAGGTGGTAAATGAAGGCCCCAGGGCACTACATTCACATTAAGGGGGTAGATACTGGCCAGGTTGCTGCTATGATCGAATGGAAGCCCCTTGGGGGTACACGGGGACAATTTCACGTTTGTCTTTGCAGCTCAAGTGCACATACCGGCACACAGGACTCTCCACAATGCTTGTTGAGTGTTTGGCTGATGGATGGTACTAACCACACAGTCTGTGGCTTAATCAGGTCTCCTGCCCCTCTGGGGTCACTGAATTGACTGGAGGTAGCTCTGCATAAAAGAAAGGGGAGGAAGGGGTGTCCCCTCTCCTATCAGGTCCCATCTGTTCAGTCCTGGGGCAGGTCTGGCAGGGCACCTGGAGGGGTTCGGAGGAGGTCACATGCATCACTCCCCCCCAGTTTAAGGATGGCCCAAGCACCTCCAAATGACCTGTCCAAGATTTCTTCTGCTTTTGTTTCCAGCCTGTACATTCCTTCTTGTGTCCCTTTCAAAGCCTTTTAGAAGCTCCTGGGACCCAGGGAAGGGGAAAGGAAATGGGCAAGGGTCATCTGCTTGTGCCCCCACTGCATTCCTGCTCCTGGAAAGTGGGGGCCAAGCTCCCTTAGAGAACTGCGCCAGAGCCCTGTCTGGGCCAGGGCTCCCAAGCGTGTCTTGACCAACACCACGAACATTCTGTTTTTCCCGGCAGGGCCAAAAGGCCTGCCAGATCTCTGGGCAGGAGGTTAAGTAAGGCTCCCCACAAAGGCTCCATCTTCCTCCCCAGGCTGCTACAGGGAAAACGATTTCCTCCTCCCAGAGCTCAGTTAGAGCCCTGGCCCTGTGGCCAAGCAAAATAAACAAATAAATAGTTCAGCCATCTATAGGAAGTCTTTTCACTGGTAGCCTGCTGTGAACAGGCACCTCCCTGCAGGGTGGCTGCCAGGGGCCACGGAGGGACTGTTCTATGAATCCCCTGGAAAGTCTGAGGCAGCCCCTCAGCCCTGGGATGCTGCCATTCAAGGCCCTGGGCCTTGGTTCTAAGTCACTGGGGTGTGAGCAGTGATGCCCCCCGAGGGCAGCCTGGAGGGATAAGAACTCCCCGGTTCTGTCTGGCCCACAGCCCACACAGGAGCAGAGCTCCGCAGCAAACCAAGCTCTTTGCTCTGATGGAAGCACCCACTAATGATGAGACAAACAGCCACTCCCCATTAGCGCAGAGACTTGGCAGCAGATTAGCTCAGCAGTAGCTGCAGAGGGCCTCCTGACGGTGGCCAGGCTCCACGTGCAGATCCGGGCCCAGCTCGGGTAGCCAGCTTGGAGAGGACCCTGATGCTCCACAAGGGTTTGGTTGGAGGAATGTGTGATGGTCAAAACTCAGGATGGCTTTGGCCACCGTCTCTGAGAGCTTCTCAGGGACTGGCCCTGGAAGTCAAGGACAGGAGCAGCAGGGGCTGGGGGCTGAGGAGGGCTGGGAAGAAAAGCGCCGGGGAGACACCAGGAAGAGCATCCTCCAGTCACGGAATCTCTGAGCTTGAGAGCTGGAGGGTCCTAGCCCGAGCCCCCCTCCCCACATTGTTGGGCAAGCATCTGGGATTCATTGAGGGGCCGAGCGCGGGCGTGTTTACCGATGCTGCTGCCTGCTGGGTTAGAGGGACCCAAGTTTGTTCTCCTGAGCAGCTTTACTGAAAACACCCGATGCAGATGCTCCAAGCAAAGCCCAGGCTTATGAAAGGTGCATGTTTCCACAGAGGAGCCCAGCCTGGCCCCGATACTTGGGAAACAGTTGTGGCTGGTGGTGAGACTGCGGCTGCCTGGGGGAAAGCCGCCCCACTCTGGGGCTCTAAGTACCAAAGGCCCAGGCCCCAAATGGCCAAAAAGTTCTTCTTTCCCACACCCCCTATGCCTGCCCCCGGAGCCCTCACCAAGCTGCTGGCTCTCCTCTGCCCCCTCTCTGGTCCTCCCTTCCCCCATGAGCCCTGGACTGGCTCTTTCCCCAACCCCTTCAGGCCTCCTGAGACAGCCTAAGGGTCCCTGCTGCTCAGGCCCTGCCTTGCCCTAGAGGAGCTTACATTCTACTAGGGAAACCTAAAGACCCAGTCATTCCATGAAGGAGAGGGCTGGAGAGGCTTCCCATGAGCAAGTGAGGAAGGCAGAGTGGGGCATGCACATGGGTCTGAGGAACAGCTGGTGGAATGTGGGGAAGGGGGAATGGGAGATGGCTGGGATGGTGGATAGGAGCCAGATCGGGAAGGCTCTAAGTTTGAGCCACAGAAGATCCAACAGAGAGGTCTGTACGGTCAGCATTCCCTTCCTTCCAGTCTAGGTATGGACAGAAGTGCAGCTGGGACAAGAGGCGGTGTTTTAAAAAGAATTTTTTGTGGGGAAACTGGGAGATACGTGAGCCTAAAGAAGTTTATGGAGCAGAATTCTTAACAAAGGCCAGCTGCAGACAGGCTTGGCCCCTTGCTGTGGGTGCTGCTTCGAGTACCCCCTCCTTCACCTTGGGCAGCAGTTCTCTTGGTTACACAGCCTGTGGCACTTTCTATCCTGGCTCCTGGGCTGGGTCCCATTCACCAGCCAGGCTGTACACTTGATGAAGGCAGGGCAGGGCTGGGGCTGGCACCCTGGGTGGGCTCCCTTAGATACCAGAAAGGGAAGGCAGGCAGGAAGGGTGAACAAAGGCCAAGGGGCACTGGCCTGGCCCCGTCTCTGCCCAGACAGGCATGCCGGGGGGCAGGGGGCTGACGCCAGATGCCCAGTCGTATTCCACATCACAGGCCACGGACGTGGCATCCCTCAGCTACCATCCCTAGGCCCTGGCCCTGCAGATAAGGAGCTCTCACGGGAAGGTCCCAATGCACCCCGACCTCCTGGGGCCCTCCTGGGATGGCACGAACAAGACCAGACCCACAACAAGCACTCTGAGCCCCTGCTTTACCGGGACAGAAAAGGAGCAACATGGGATGTTCTGGGCAGGCCGTTCGTGTCTTTCCTGGGGATGAGGGAGCAAGGTGGCGAGTCAGCGCCTGGGGGCCCCTCCTTCCCCAGACCTTTGGAGACAATGGCAGGAGGCAGGCAGCTTGAGGAGGGATGGACTGGATCCCTTGGACGAGGTGGACACAAAAGAAAACGTGAGGGAATATCTGTAAATGCCCCTCGGCAGGAGCTCAGTGGCTTGGCAGGGGTGGGGAAATAGAATCATCCAGCAAGTAGAGGGCCAGGGCTGCCAGAGCCTGGGCTCACAGGATGGGTTCTGTACCGTTCCAGTCCACGAACGCGTCCTTCCACCTGGGGGACACAGAGGGGAGGAAACCCATTAAGCAAGACAGTGAGAGCTCACCTGGTCCACCAATACCTATGGTTCTGCTCCAGGGGAGCCCCGGCCCCACGCGCCAAGGGTTGGATGGGGTAGGGAGGAACACATGGCAGGACCAGGCAGGATGAAGAAGTGAGGAAGAGGGACAGGGTGGGAAGTGATCCAGGGGAACGAGGCAGACTGAGGCAGGATGGGTCAGGACCCATCAATCCACAAGTGGCTTTCAGGTGCCGACTGTGCCGAGGGCCAGGCCGAGCTTGGGGAACACAAGGACAAAAAGGCGTCTGTCTCTGCCCTCGGAGAACATCCAGTCTCTGGCAGAGACGATCCCATGACCACCTGCGCACAGGTAACTGAGCATAAGTAACGCAGTGGGGAGTGGGGGGGTGGGGGGGAAGTGCCTCAGGCCGAGCCGTAAAAGGGACTCTGGCGTAGAAGAGGTGTAACACGGGGCCACCAAACGTGTGCCCACTGATCTCCCCTCCACTTCCTAGGGGCCCTCTGTGTGTTGTCTGTGCTCATTAGAAGATAAGCTCCCTGAGGGCAGAGACAACGCTGCTGGCTCAGCACAAAGAGAGCCAGCCAGCCAGTCAGTCAGTCGGTCAGTCAGTCCAGGCACGAGGCACAGCTGGTGCAAAGGCAGAGAGGTGGCAGATGGAGGAAGAGCGAGAGGGTCAGTCGGCTGACGATAGCGATGGGCAGTGAGGAAGGCCGAGGCTGGGGGGTCATCAGCTCTCTCCCCTTTCCCCAAGAGGCTCCGTACGTCCTTTCTCGTGGTCACTAGCTGGCTCCTCGGTCACCCTGCCTCATGCCGCTCCCCATACCTGTACGCCAACAGAACCCTCTGTGGAGGAGAAATGGGAGAAGATCCAGGAAGGACCCGACTTCCAAACAGACACAAAGGCCCACGGGAAAATGACACCAGAAAAGGCAGCTCAGAGCCAAGGGCTTTAGGTGGCCTCCAGGCGTGCCAGGGAGAGACAACAGTCTACTAGTGCACTGCACCCGGAGGGCGCCCGGCATGAAGACACGTGGAGGGGCCTGCAGGATTTCCCCAGTGAGTCTCTGAAGCAGACTCCCCTTCACACAGACACACCTAGCTATAGACTGGGCACAGAGAAGTCTGAGGCGAGAGACGAGGGCGCAGAAGGAAGCATCTCTTAGCACCTCTGCTTCCTCATCTGTAAAACGAACCTTAAAGTGCCGCCAACGTGAGCAATTCCTAACAGAGCCGATCGAGACCCTCCTTGGACACGGCCAGCACAATCCCACAAGAGTCAACGACACACACGGGCAGAGAGAACTGCACACAACAACTGGCCCCTGACGATGCTCTGAGAAAACCACGAGCGCAGCTGCTCACGAGGTGTGTGTCCCAGACAGGGCAGGACTCCATCTCTGCCCTCCCCAAGGATGCTCTTTACCCAGCACACTGCACTAACATCTCACGCTGTGGGCCACACTACATGGCCTTCCTTCCATGACATCCCCAGGAACATGGAAAAAGATCAGTGTAGCCACACCTAAGGTAAAAAACCCCCAAACCACAATGGATGGACCAGGCCCACTGCCCACGCAGGACGGGCAGCCACGCAGGTCACCCCTGGACAGCAGGACCTCATTCCAGATGGAGAATGAGCTGGGCCTAGAACTGAGCAAACAAGAACTCAGGATGGATTGTAGCTGGGAAGCTGGTCAGATTTCCCAAAGTGCCCCCCAAGTGCCCACCCCCGTCAAAGCTTTGTTCTCCTGTGGGTGCTGGGGGTGGGCCTCCTAAACGCCAAGCACTGTGGGGGGCCCTCGGGGAGCTTACGTCCTACTGGGTACAAATCATGGAGCAGGAAGAATTTGGGCATAAGCAGGCTTAGACAGGAGCAGGGCCCCGCCTCGTCCCCAGTCCCCTGGGTGGACGCCATGGTTCTAGCTGCATTGCCAAGCCTTGTTGGTGGGGAGATGCGGCCGAGGGTCAGTGTACGGTCCAGACCGCCAGGGCAGAGGAGGTGGTGACCCTTGACCTCCCTGTGCTAGCTTCTCGAGAGGCCTGCCACGGACTGAAGTCACATCTGATTCCTATCTGTCCCCCAACGGCCCTGGACCAAGCCCGGAGAGCTTTCCTCTCTGGACGTCAGACGAATGCTTGGTTTTTGCTTTTTCTCATTCAGCTGTGACTGCATACCACCACCATCTCAGGAGTCTTTGCTCAGATGCACCAGGAGCATCTGGGTCCTGAGACCAGAAGCTGAATTCAGGATGGAGACCCAGCACCGGCTCACATCGGGACGCAGGAACAGTCCCTTCTGGTGTGAATACCAGGCCTATCCTGTCCCCTCTGGGACTCCAGAGTCCTGGGTTCTAGTCCTGATTCTGCCATTGGCTTACTATGGGAAACTGGGTGAGGTATTTGAGCTTCCTCACTCAAATGGGAATAATCATTTCTGGTAAGCAGCTCCAGGCTTGTCAGCATCACTAGGGCCGCGGGATAATGAGAAGCACATTTGGGCCCTGGGTCCAAGGCCAGATTGGGCCTCTGGCTAAGGAACGTGGTGGGAGGAAATGTCCCAGGGGCTGGATGGGGGTGGGGATGCCCATGCCCCAGCCAGGGAGGGCAGGAAGGGAGGGGGGCAGTCAGGGGAGGGCCGCTTCCTCCAGTCATCCAGGTCCAATGGCCAGCTTTTCCTTTGAGCTCTTCAAGGGGCAGAACAAAAGGCGTGTCCTTTGTGATGCGGGCCCTTTGAGGCAGGATCTGCTTTGGATTACAATGGTATTTTATCTGATGGGGATGAAAAAGAAAGCATTATTTTCTGACTCTGTGCTCCCTAAGAGCACATAGGGACCCTGAGAAAAGTCGAGGGGGTGCTGACCGCTTCCGGAGGCAGCAGGCCTGGCGGCCTCAGCCCCCTTCCTTCCGGGGCCTTCCAGTTTGCTCCGTCTCTAGCCTGTCTGTACACAGCTGCCGGTGCGTCCTCTCCCCTACTGGGCCGCAAGCTTCTCCAGGGCACGTGTGGTTTTTGGCCTTTCTTTGCATGCCACCAGCTTAGCTCAGTGCCTGGCACTTTAAAAGTGCTTGCTGACTGACAGTAGCTGGGGCCCTTGGGCCAGGAGCTTCGGGCCTGTCCTTCAGCCTGAAAATGGGGGTGGGGGGGAATCAGGGAAGGCTTCCTAGAGGAAGGGCATCTGGAAGTGAGCCCTGAAGGGCATGCTCTCCACTAACCTACGCTCAGAGCTCCCCCAGCTCTGAGCATCACCTTGGGCCTGTCTCCTGATGCAGCAGAGAAGAGGACTGAATAAGGTGATGGTATAGTGGCTGGACCTTGGAAGACCTGAGTTCAAATCCCACTTTCGATACTGTGGGACCCTGGCTAAGTCACCTTTCTGTGCCTCACTTTCTTGATCTGTAAAGTCAGTGGTCTTCACACACGCCCCGGGCCCATCTGCAGTTTTTCAAACCCAATGCCCAACCTCCCACCTCCACACCTTTGCCCTGGCAGTCTCTCCTGCCTGGAATGCTCTCCCTCCTCTGCCGCATCCTATTTTATGTGTCTTCCCCTTTCCACTGTAAGCTCCTCGAGGGCAGGGTCTGAATTTCTGCCTTATCGACATCTCTTAGCCTAGTGCCAGGCACAGAGCAGGCACTGAATCAATGCTTTGTTGACGGGATGGCACAGCGAGGGGGAGGTGGCGCCCCAGCCCCTCTCTCAGGCACACTGAGCACACCCCTCCCCGGCGGGCAGGCAGGCCCATTCTACCTCCCTCATCCATGGTCCTGCCCTCCAGGGGCTTGCACTGCCTGGGTCCCTTTCCCTGCTCCTCACATTCACATACGGGTTGGGCCAGATGACAGGTAGGGTTCCTTCCGAGTGAGGTCCCAGGACCCCAGGATACCCCGTTGAATGATTCTGAGGTGATCCCAAGGCAAGTTCTCCTTGCCGTAGGCAGAGGACGGCTCTGATCCATGCACCCATGATGGCCTGTACCTTCCCACCTGGGAAAGTGGGCCGTGCTCTGTGACTCAGGTAATGCAATGGGTGAGGGTAAGGAGAAGGGGAGGGCAGATTCCTCCAAGACTCTTCTGCACCCAGAAAACAGCACCTGCAGCCGCAAGCACCTAATGTGTGTTTGCTGAACTCAAAGGCAGGTACCTGGAAACGTCTCCCAAGGGGTCTCCAGCGGTCAGGGTTGGCAGTATCAGCCAGGGATGTACACCAGGTATGGAGGCCCCTGGGACACGGCAAATCCTAATGACTACCAATCCCCTGTCAGATTCCCCCCCTGCTCTCTTGGCAGTGATCTGGCTGGAGGCAGCGGGGAGGTGGGGCAATGGTTGCTCCCCATGTTCGCGGCTTTCAGCTCCCAGATGAAATCCCACCTTGTCCAGGAAGCCTTTTCTGGTCCCTGTCTGTGGTTTCTCTGTGCACAGCTTATTTGCCCGTTTTCTCCCCCATTAAACTGTGAGCTCCCTGAGGCCAAGGGCTGGCTTTTGTCTTTCTTTGTAACTGCAGGGTTTAGCAAAGTTCCTGGCCCACAGCAGGCACTCCATGGTTTACTGATTGGCTACTGGCCATCCTGGGGCCTGGTGGCTCTCACTTGGGTTGTGAGCCCCGTAGAAAGAGCAGAACCAAGGCCCTTCTCCCCCAACCACTCGCCAACCTGCTCTGCATTTTGAAGCTGCTCTCGCACACCTAGAGGATCACGGGAGTGTTGGCCAGGGAGGTGCAGCTGTGGAGGGGAGTGCTTGTCCCATACAGGGACTGCCATGGCCTACCCTGTCTGAACTGAGAGTGGCCTCTGGCCTCCGTGTCCAGATGCCTGTTTCGGCTCCCCTTCCAAATGGCTGCATTTCTTTCAACACGTTGAATGAATGTTCCTTTATACATGAAAAGAGAGCAATGAGGATGTTCCTTTAATCTGCCTGAGGACAGATGGGACAGTGTGTGACCCTGCAGGAATGCTTTGTGTTTGTGACTGGAAACGCTCCCAAGAAAACCAGTGTCTCCTCCTATTTCCTCTTCCTTTTTCAAGACTGCAAATAAATACATTTTTCTTAGCTCTCCTGCTGCCCCATCACAGGCCAGGTGGCCACTCTGCCCTGTGGGCACTGTCTGGCTGCTGGAGGTTGGCAGCGGTCATGACCCCAGCTCTCTGTCCTTCTCCCACCATCTCGTGGGCCTGCTGAGCGCCTGGCTTGTGACCAGCGTGGAGCTGCTCTGGGCCAGTCTCCTCATCCAGTGTTTGGCTGCGCTCTCACCATCCCCTCCACCAGAGCCTCCTTTCAGATCAAACTCCCGGAAAGAATTCCATAACCTAATTTATATTAATGATTTATCATTAAGGACTGATAAAGACACTTTATCATCCCTCTTCATTATGGACTGAGCTCCCTGAGGGTGGGGCCTCTGTATGCACAGTGCCTGGCACAGTGCCTAGGACGTAGGGGATGTTTAGGAAATGCTTTTTTAACGGTTATCTTTGGGGCATTTGCATTTGAAGAGGGAATAGTGTCTTATTACTAAGAAATGAAGCTCAAATAGTAGAATTTCTGGCAACACAACAGGCTGGTGAGATCCGTCTTCCCAGCATTCCTTGGTTAAGGCTGACTCTGGCTGGAGGCAGCCTGGCTTCCTTCCAGACCCCGTGATGTCCCCCTCCACTTGAGCCTAGATTGCCATGAGGGGCTTCTGCATTACTCTGAGCAGAGGTCTGGCACATCGGCACTGCTCACTCTCTGACAGAAGCGGGATGTCTTGACCTTGTATTATCCACAAACGGGGAGGCCCAGACTCAGAATTCTGGAGGCAGGTGGAGGCTCAGAGGCTGCTCTTTCTTCCACCACAGGAATCTCCTTGCCCTCATTCCTGGCAGGTGGATCTAACTTCTCCTTGACCCCTCCGATGGCAGGCAGGTCCTTCCGCTGCGGGCCACTCTCAGCCTGAGAAAGGGCCACATCAGAATGAGCTGAGAGACCTGTCTCCCACTCATCTCCACCCACACTGGTCTCCGAAGGGATGCCCAACAGGCCCACTCCAGCTTCTCCAGAAGCTCTCTACAGGTATTTGAAGACAGATATTCGGCAGCAGGCTGTCTTGTCCTGGCACCACGGAAGAAGAACACCGAGTGTGCAGGAAGGTGAGGGGGCAAGTCCCGTGGGCTGAGAGTGAGGCAAGTCTACAAGGAGGAGCAGAGGTTCCATCCCTGGGCAGTGGGGACACGGGAGAATAGGGCTGAGGCTGAGGCAGGGTAGGGCGGGCCGTCGCCTTGAGGTGCCCCCCGCCACACACGGCATCTCTGAGCCTTCTCTTCCCCATGTTACTTCAATGGGCGCCCCTTCTGACCCGGCTTGAAACTCTTCACCAGACTGGTCCCATGGGTGGGGGTGGTCTCTGTCTGTAGACTGGGGAAGGTGACCCTGCAGAACCTGCCTCTGGGTCTTGGCCCAAAGTGTCAACAATCCACAAGGGAGGCAACATCCACGTGTGAAGGCCACGGTGGTGCAGAAAGCAATGGACGGCACCTCCAGAAAAATGGTCAATGACGCGAGGAGAAGGAGGGTGAAAAGGTGGCGGGGCTCTCCACCCAAATGACAGACAGCAAGGTGGGGGTGGATGATCTCCAGCACGCAGATGTTTGTTCGGAGGGTTCCTACTTGTCAACATCCACTTATCTGGGTTTCCTTTGAGTGCCTAACGAATTATTTTTAAATGCCTACAACATCACTTCTGGTTAGGTGACCTCCAAAGAACTCCACTGGGTGGGAGCAGATAGTGTTGGACTCAGAGTCAGAAAGACCAAGTTCAAGTCTGGCTTCTCAAACTTTTAAGCTGCAGGATCTCAACCTCCGTGAGCCTCAATTTCCTCATCTGTAAAATGGGATTGTTACATCTTCCTACTTTCTTCTCCTCCCAACACGCCTTCTCTGTTCAGCCTCTCTTTCAGGTGTCTTCACAGGGCACCAGACACTCTAGGCCCAAATGCATGATTTTCACCCATTTCTGAGGCCCTCAGCCTCTCCATTTGCACACACAAACCTTGCCTTTACTTGTAGGCCCCAATTAACTGTCTCCTGCCCCAGCCCCACCCCCACCCCAGGGCTGTCCCAAGACTCAGAGGAGAACATATGTAACTGTACCCAAAAGTATAGTTGGGATACCCTCATGTGACTATGTGACGTGCCTGTCACCTACATCTACAGATCGGTGTGGACCCCACGAAACGTGCAGGGACTGCAGATTCTTTACAGGGAGAGAGATAAGTGAAAACAGCGAGGTCTGTGCTGACCAAAACAGAGCCTGGAAGTCACTGGTGGGCAGAATAATAAACCTTTAAAGACAGAGGCCCACTTCATCCAGCCTTTTGTTCTTTCTCTTCGGATCATCTGCATGGGAGCCAGGGAGGACCGTGGGAGTAAGGAGAATCCTGCAACCCTCGCATGGACAAACTTCTTGGCTTTTTATTTTTTTCTATGAAGGGTCTGCCAAATGGGTTTGAGGATATAAATTAATACTCAGGGACTTAATCAGTGTGAAAAAAAGACTTCCTAAGCCCAAGTTGGGTAGTTTCCTGAGCCCTGGATCTTGAAGCAACACCAGTAAAGTCAAGCCTGTGAGAGGCTCTGGAGGCACCGGGAGCTCCTGCTCGCTCCTGCTCGCCCCCTGCTCATTTCTGCTGGCTTTCGGGCTGACCTCACAATAATACAGGGTCACTCTCAGGGACAGGCTTTGTAGTTCCTGCAGAGACAATGTAGCCAAGAGCAGGGGACAGATGTCTGAGCTGTGTTGGCCACCCCCGGGCTCCTTGGCTGTGCTGTGCGCACTCGCTCTGTCACATGTGTCCCTGAGGGTGCCCTCCCCCACCGGCGGCGTGACCACCTCATGCAGGCCTGGGGGCATCTGTGCCGCTCGCTCACTGATTTGCTGCCATGGGCTACAATGTCTTCTGCCTTCAGATGGTGTGTCCTCTGGCTGCCTGGCAGAAGAAAACACACTGCCAGGTGACGAGCTGTCGTTTGGGGCTGCCGTATCCTCGCCGCTCCATCCTACAAGGATGCCTCCTTCTCCCTGCTGCAGGGAGGTCTAAGGAAGGGGAGAGGCCACGAAAGGTCCCCTTGCTCCTCCCATCTCTGAAGGGGCCCATGTTGCCCCAGCCCGAGAAGTCCAAGCCTCAGTGGAGACTCAGAAGGAGAGCCAGAGCACACAAGAACCTCAGAGAGCAAGGTGGGCTGCTAAGGCGATGGATGGACCTGGCCAGCCCAGCTTTTAGATTCTTGACCTTTGTCCTGCCTGCCAGGAACCAGAGCTGCCGGGTGTGTGGAGACGGGTGGGCAGGTGGGCGCCACACTCCCCACAGCCCGCCTGGATCTCATCAGCTCCATCCATGCTCACAGAAGGAGGGGCTGGGAGGGAGGAGGCAGTGGCAGAGGAGCTGGATTCGAGTCCTGACTCTGCGGCTTCTCCCTGTCGCCCGTCGGGCCTATAGAAGGACGGGGCTGGACAGCTGACCCTGAAGGACCCTTCTCCTCTCCTTCCAGGGCTCCCCTGTCATATCCTATCTCCGGTCTAGGAGATGCCTCTGGCTCCTGGCTTCTTTGCTGACCTCGAAGAAGTGCCAAGGTCTGAGACCAGCGAGGCCCTTTCCCCACCGCCCACTCCCTTGTTCCTCTTGGATGACTCACTCCTCCAAGGCTCGGGGAATGGATTTTTCCAGATTCCTATCTCTTCAGGTTGATATGCAAAAACAACTCACATTTCTTAGCATTTTCCATCTTATCAAGTATTTCCTCACAACCCCCCGGGGGCACAAGCAGCAACAACAACCAACAGGTCCCACCCGCAGAGGAAGAGAGCCTAAGCCGACATCCATCTGCTGGCTGAGCGAAGGCCTGGGGTCAGCCCTGATTGGCTCTGGAGCTGCAGGCCGGGTCACTTCTCCGCTCTCTCATCCGAAGAACAGGGACAGCCACCCAGGTGCCCCCAGGCCATCCAGCTGTCGTGAGAAGGGAATAAGACGAGGGAGGGAGGGACGAGGGATCTGAGGCCGCTCTCCTTGGGGAGCCCCTGCATTCGGGAGGAGCCCACTTACTTGGTGCGGATGCAGTGTTCTAGGGGGGGAACGAGGTCCTTCTCTCTGTCTCCGGGCACAGGCTGGGTTGTATCTGGAAGGGAAGAGATTGTGTTGGCCTCCAACAACACCCAGCCCTTGCCTCTCCCTGATCCTCAGGAGCTCATCCACGTGTTCTAGGCCCTCCTGTGATCCCCCCAGCCAAGGACCTCTCAGCTGAGCCACCAGGGAGCGTCTTGGCTGCTCTCCATCCACATCTGCCCCTTCCCCTCTCCCATGCACACCCCACAAAGCTGCCACGTTACTCCCCTGCTCAAAAAGCTCCCGTGGCTTTTACGGCCTCTAGGGTCAAGCACAGAGTGCTCTGGGTGCCCCAGCAAACCCATTTTTCCAGGGAAACCTCCCAAGACTCCCTCCCACACTCTACCCTGCTGGTCTCCCTTGGAGGACGGCCTCATGCCTCTGTTTCTTTGCCCTGGCTGGGCATCCTCAGCCTCTCGCTCTCCGGCCTGTCTCCCGGAGAGGCTCACCATTGGGTCAGTCCCACTGCCTAGCCCTTGAAGGCACGTGCAGTTTCCCCAGGAGAACACAGGATCCCTGTGCTGACCGGCCACGTCAAGGCTAGACAGAGGCTAGACCAGTGCCATCCAGGCCAGAGCTGAATCTCACGGCCACACTTCATCGCCTCTAACACTCTCCTGGACTGTGCTCTCCCAGGTAACCTGGGAAAGGCAAAGTCCTTCTTGTGTGGGGACAGATTGCGCTCAAGCCCAAGCCTTGCCCACTGGAGACCCTCTACACTCCCGGTGATGGAGGAAGGACAGGATGAGCTGAGGCAGGCACTGCTGCTTGACATAAACAAGGAAGAAATGTGGGGGAGGGGAGCTGGGCTGTGTGAGCCTCTTCTGAACCTGGGCTGGATAATGGGTGGCACCTGACTCAGTCTCTGAGAATGCCTGGGGGGGACCAGTTTGCTTCCCTCTTTCACGTGACCACAGGTTGCCAAAGAGTCACCCCACACTGCTGGCCTCAGGCTGTGATTGTGACCCTCCATTTCTCATCCCCATCTCATCACCAACCTGGTATTCTCACACACATGCATATCACTGGCTACGAGGGGAATGGTTAAGGGAGGAGAGCTCAGTGCTCCTCAGAAAGAGTGGGGAAGGACTCCAGATGGTGCTTCCATCTACACCAAACCAAAATGAGAACCCTCCCTCTAACAAGGCTGACCAGGGTGGTCCAGCCTCTGCCTGGAGACCCCCGTAAAGGGGAACTCACCAGCCTCTCCAGGCATCTCCTGATGTCCAAAGTCAATGTGCCTCTTGACACAGAGCGGGGCAACAGCGTACAAGGTCCTGAGGGCAGGTGGAAATTGTCTTCTGTTGAGTGGGTGCTAACACTGCTGAGCTTAGTGGGTTTTAAAAGTCAAGCTTGGAGCTACGTGACATAATAAGAGAACACAGCCCCAACCACTCCTGCGGCCTCTATCCAGCCTCCACACAAGCCTCTGGTCAGCCACGCCAGTCTTCTCCCAAACCCTGAGGACACCCGGCCTCCTCCTGGCTTGCAGCTTAGGTGTACCCCGCTCCTGAGCCTCTCATGGCCCATCTCCTTCAGAAACCTTGCCCTCGGCACCTATACCACTGGTCAGAGCTCTCATCCTCTTGTGCTGGTGTCCCAACTTCCCCATGTGTCCATCTTATTTCAGGTTCCCTAGGAGAAAGCCGCCATATTCTCCTGTCCTGTGCGTAATACCAAGCAAGGAGGGGGACAGCCAGCGGGGCCAGGGAGGAAGGGTGAGACACATACCTATCGTCAGCCGAATCTCCCCCTGCTGGTTAGCCAGCCCGTCGTAGTAATAGAGATCAAATATTCTCTCCACTTTCCAGTCACTGAGGAGGTCTCGCTGAAGGCTGAAGAGGATGCTGAAGTGGCTTTCACTGCACACCACCCAGATGGGATACCTGGGAGTCTTTAGATAACAGCCCACCTGAGAGGGGGACACAGAATAAAGAGCAAACCAAACGACAGAGCAGTGATTCACTGACCGAGGAGCAAAGGGGCCGAGATCTGAAAGAGACCACGTGTCCTCACGATGGCCTTGCCCACACCAGCATCCCCTCCATGGCGCCAAGGAGACCGACGGGGAGGAAAATGAGACCTGGAGTCACGCGGGCCGAAGCCAGTCATCTGGGAAGTCCACAAGCCCAGCGGACACACGCTCTTGGCTGCCACGGTGCCACGCAAACTTCTCGGCAGCATTGCTGCTTCCAGCAGAGCCCTTCTGGGCTTGCTGCAGGACCTTCCGGCCAGCCTCCACACAGGCCTCTGGTCAGAAGCGGCGTGGCATTAGAACAGTGGGTTTTAGGTCAGGGAACTAAGGGCTTGAAAGGCTTGTCCACGACACGGGGACTGACAGGCTAAAGCCTTGCTCGAGCTTCCTACCATACGTAGGTATATATGCATATACACACTCACACACATATGCACAGACAGAAATGGCAGTGACAGAGACCGAAACAGTGTGATGGAGCAGACAGAGAGCAGAGCTGAGAGTTAAGAAGCAGTCCAAGGATTTATCATGTGTCTACCCCATTCTGGACACTGTGCCAGGTGCTAAGGATACAAATATAAAACAAACCAATCCCAGCCATAAGGAGCCTACATTCTAATGCGGGAAAGCACCCACAAAATACGTGCAGAATAAATATGAAGTAAACACACAGATGCTGACTAGCTGTGTGACCCTGGGCAAGTCACGTAACCCTGTGTGCCTCAGTTTCCTTATCTGTAAAATGAGCTAGCGAAGGAAATGGCAAACCACTCCAGCATCTGTTCCAAAAAACCTTCAAATGGGGCCACCAAGTGCTGGACATGACTAAAAAGTTACTGAACCAAAAAACCCACGTATGTACACAGTCGTTAAACATAAGGTAGTCTGGGGCAGGGAGATCTAGAAAGGCTCGTACAAAAGATGGCATCTGAGCAGTACGTTAATGGAAGAGAGGGACTCTGTAGTTCTGGTGAGCACCCAGAGATGAGAGGTGGCATGTTGTGTGTGAGAAACTTAGGGAAGACCAGCGTGGCTCCATCACAGTGTTGAGAAGAAGTAAAACCCAAAGAGACTGGAAAGGCATGTTGGGGCCAGGTTATGGAGGGCTTCAAAAGTTAAGCTGGGGAATTTATATTTGGTCCTAGCAGCAATAGGAGGAAACCGCTGGAGGTGGGGAGTCATCTGGTCAGGTCTGCACTTAGGGAGCATCACTTTGGGGAGGGGGGCTGGGCAGAGACCCAAGCAGGGAGGCCAAGAAGAGGCAGCTGCCATAATCTATGAGGGAGCTGATAGGGGTCTGAACTAAGGTGGGAGCTGTGTGAGGAGGCAGGAGGGGTCAGGGGTGTGAGGTTTTGTCAAGGTAGAAACAGCGAGATCTGGCAAGTGACTGATTCATGGGTGAGGGAGGCAAGGAGGCATGAAGACCAGAAGGATGGTGGTGCCTTCAACAAAAAGAGGAATGTTTGCAACAGAGGAGGAACAGAGGGAACAGACAATGAATTTTGCTTTGGACATGTTGACTCGGCGATGATCCAGGACATCTTTCAAATGTCCAGCAGCCAACTGGTGATGTGGAAGCTTAGGGGAGAGACCAGGACTGGAGAGACAGATCTGGGTGTCATCATCGGCGATGACAGTTAAGCCCATGAAAGCTGACGAGGCTACCGAGAGAGAGCGCAGGAGAAGAGAAGAGCACCCAGGGGAGAACCCTGGAGAATGCCCACAGTTTGGAGCAAACATGTAGGTGAGAAACCAGCAAAGGACCGGGAATGGGAACAGTCAGGCAAGCAAGAGGAGAGGAGAAGGTAGAGCCACGAAACCCCGGGAGGAAAGAGCATCTAGGAGGAGAGTCACCGACAGGGTCAAATGTGGCAGGGAGGTTGAGGACTGAGAAAGGACCGCCACATCTGACAATTCAGAGAACATCGGTAATATCAGAGTCAGCAGATGAAGTTGGAGGTCACACTCCAAAGGACCAAGGAACGAGAGGTGAAAGTGGTGAGCACTGACAGCTTTTCAAAGAAGTCTGGCTAAGAAAGGGGGAGGAGGAGAATCGTTTGAGGGGATGACAGCGTCTAGTGAAGGCTTGTAAGGATGGCGTGACCTGGCTAGGTTTCAGGGCAGTAAGGAAGGAACCAGTGAGAGAGAGGCTGAAGACTGGAGAGAGGGTGTTACTGAGGATGCAATCTGGTAAAGGGGTTGGCCTTGGCAAGGAGAAGGACCACCTCTTTGTCAGCAACTAAGGAAAAAGAGAAGAGAGTGGGCGATGATGTTAAGGGATTTTGAGGAAGAAAGAGGGTTCGAAACAGTTTCTGCCAGGAGACAGCGGATCACATCACAGATGACATTGTGGATGACATCAGTGTGTCATTGGGCCCAGTCGGCACAGTTGTGACTTCCTTCAATCTGCAGCTTGTGAGTAGAAACAGGGAGTGGATGAGACGGGTGTTGGGAGTGATCCAGGGTCAAGTGTTGGCAAGAGAACAACAGCAACAGTACAAAAGGGTGAGGGGGTAGGACAGCGCAGAGCTGAAATGACAAACCATGGCTTCGGAGGGGGTAAAGGAGGAAAGTCAGAACAGGAATCACTACGGGAGAAAGTCTCGAGAGGTAGAGGGACGAATGAAGCCAGGGAGTGGTGGAGGGAGAGGAGGTTATGGATAAACAGGGGTCGTGTGACCCCGGGGGACGGCCCCTCAGCCCTGGGCCCCAGGGGCCACCCTGCCTCAGTTGTAAAGTGTAATGTTATCTATGTTTTACTGCATTTTTTAAAATTTTGTTAAATATTCCCTAATTATATTTTAATCTGGTTTGGGCCCACTCTCAGGAGCACACGGGCCACGTGTTTCCTCGTGGAGACCCACTTCTGCTGATGAAATCACAGCTCCAAAAAACACTATGCACCCCCAGAGCCTAATGCAGTACCTGGCTCACAGTAGGTGCTTAATAAATGCATGCGCGCGCACACGTGTGTGTATGTGTGTGTGTACATACACATATACGCATATGTGTGTGAAGTTGATTTTATATGTACGTAAATAGTAAATGCTTGTTGATATATACACATGTATAAGTATATATACATACATACACAGATAGAAGGTTGTGTCAATTCATGTATAGATACAGATGTAGTTACAGGGATATTAACAAGCATTTATTAAGCACCTACTATGAGCCAGGTGCTGTGGTTGATTCTGGGCAAACAAATATAAAAACGTGGTCCTGCGAGCTCTGGATTTATCCAGAAGAGGGGCAGGGGCCCAGGTCAGAGGTGATCACACACCTGAGCTGGGATCTGAACCTCAGTTCTCAGGCTGCTGCACTCTCCATTCTGCCACCCACAGGGTGAAGTTCTTCTATGAAATGAGAAAATTAGAGACGGAGTCTTCAAACACCCAAAACTGTGTCATTAAAAAATAAGATCCTACAAGTGGGAACATGGCAGACAAAAGGGTGACTTGCCAACAGCATGCTGTCACGGGAAGAGAGGGGCTCAAATCTAGCCTCTTCAGACATTTCTCTCAACCTCCCTGGGACTGCAAGCACAGTCAGAGCCTTGGTGGGGACAGTCTTGGAGAAGTGACATCCATCCTCGGGCTGGCGTGGTGACGCGAGATCCCTGTCTCACGTTTCTTGCAGCGGCCACGAGGATGTTTTCAGGATCCCGAGAGCCTGCCGCTTTCCTTTCCTTTCCTCTCCTCCACCTCGATGTACACGGTGTAGCTCTCAGGCCGAACCCAGGAGGATAAGCAGAGTTACTGATGACACAGTGGATCTGGGGGACAGGAACAAGTAATCGGGGTCACTGGGCCTCCCCTCCTCTAGGCCGGATGAATTTCTTTAGCTTTGCTTTGCTGGTGTAGACGTGACCTAGAGATTTTCCTTCCTTACCACACAAATGCATGCGTGTCCAGCCTGAAATGCAGAGAACGTGTGTTCTCTCTGAAGAGGAAAATGGCACAAAGAGATGCTTGGGCCCATAAACACTGCAGGTTTTTTGTTCTTTGTTACTTTTCACAAAATGGCCAAATGTCTGCCCCTGCTTACAGCACGGCCACTCTCCAGACCCTAGCGAGGCGGAGGCGCCTGAAGGGCAGACACATTTCTCGGTGAGTCCAGGTGGGAGTAAGAGTGTGGTGAAGGGTCGGAAACGGGAGTGCCAAGAGCCTGGAAACCCGCAGGGGAGTGGGGGAAGGGCATCCACGAGCGGGGGGGGGGGCCCGGAAAACAGTCATCTTCAGGAGACGTCTCCTACGTCACTCGGACCCCCCTCGTCACGGACGCTGCCCTTCCACCCAACGCTGTTCCTGCTCTCCCCAGTCCACGGTTGTCCTCCCCCCTCCACGAAGCCTCGCTCCTCGGGGCACTGCTGCCCTTCTCGGCCGCCCCGCCGGCTTCAAGCTGGCACCACTCTGGCTAGCGGTCTGCTGAGTCTCCGATTGTTTCCTGCCCGTGAGGCGGGTGAGGGACCAGATGGGCCTCCCCCGCCTCTCTCACAGTCACGGACACCGGGCTCTGGCACCTAGTAGGTGGTCCAGACTTACAGGCTGAGACCCCCTCGCGTCTCGCCCTCAGCTGAGGCGCTGTCCATCCTCCACACAGCGCCGGAGTGATTTCTGCGGGCCTCGGTCTGATCGTGCCCCGTGCGTGTGCACACACAAGTACACACATACACACACGTGCACGCGCACACACACGCGCATGCATACACACAGCGCACACGCACACACGGAAACAGACACATGCACACACGTGCACACACAGGACACATACGCACATGCACACAGTACACACACATACACACATGTACACATACACACAGTACACATACACACATCTCCCCCTCCACACCTACGGAGCTGACTCCGGCTGAGAAAGTGTAGCTGACGAGGATTCCCCGAATCAGAAGACGTGCGAAGTGACTGGAATTCCAG